AAAGTATCTTAAGATGATGACATTATACTTGATTTTCGTAGATGTCAAATGTTACTAAGGTGTGAACATTTATAAATACACCTCCTATCATTAGGTCACTTCCATATAGAATTCAAAATTGTTACAAGCAACCTTAAATATGATTTCAAATTTGTTTATGACTGAATTTATTGTCCAAAATTGCTTAAATTAAATTTTATAGTTAGTTCCCTTTCATTGAAAAGTAAATGCTGCATGTTTACTTATTAATGCTTATCAATTGGATGGATAAAAAGTTTTTACCTGTGAATAATTATTGATAATAAATGAAAATATAAGAATAAATTGTAAAAAGAAAGATACAAAGGTAGGTAGGTAGGCATATAGAAAGATAAAGATGTCGATATGGTTTGTTTTGAGTTACTGCTCTTGAAATTGACATAGAAAAAATAAAGGAAATAAGAATCCCTAAAGAAAGTCGAAAACGGCAAAATTGAACATGTTGCAGACTCGGTTTAATTTAGCCAGTTTATAGACGATACTGTCAAGTGCAAACTATCGTTCACGCCCACTAGCACCGGTTTAAGCAGAATATTAAATTTTATCATGAAAATGGTGAACATTTGAATTTAAGAAACAACCAGATGTGTTCATACGGCGGTTATCACGGAACCTTCAATGTGACACGTTAGACATATCCATGAATAGCGGCGTGTTATCCAAAAATACTAGAAAGCATGTGCCCTACACGAGAAAGCAATGGGCGGAACTAAACAAAATGGAATTTTGAGGGGACATCAGAGGTTATGAAGCCTAAATATCACTGATAAGACGTCAAAAGACAAAGTTAAAAAGCAGGCAACATATCATAAGGGTGATTCAACATTATTCAAGTAGGGGTATTGGAACCACCCAAACTAAAAAAGCTATAGAAACAATAGAACTAAAATATGATAAACAAGATCAACAAGGAAAGGTGGCGTTCAATGAATGCAACCCCCACACGACCCAGCAACAAGAACCAGTGGCAAGGAGCCCAGACAGACCCCAAACAAAAACAGGAAAGGGCACAAGGCAGAGCACGGACAGGTATATCACTAAAATTATAAATAATTTTCAACTGATAGAGAATTCAAAGAAAATCGAATAAATGATAGAATAATAGGAAATAATTTGTAACTGACAAGGAATTCAAAGAAAACAAATGATTCAACAATAGGCCCACAAAGTTAAAAGGCACAGGGGGACATGAGACCTAGTGAAAGGTGGGGGTAAATTATCTGTTTAGATTTCGTACTTTAATGTAGTAGGATATATAGACATTTTCTTTCATTCCTATCGTTCTTTTAAGGAATGGCCTACAATATATGACATATGAATATCTGGCATCTTTCCTATATATTTAGTTGTGTTGATACATGTAACATGTCGATAATTAAAGTTTGGCTTTAGAGATGAACGTTATAATTAACTACGTCGTCAGTATTAACCGGAAACAAACACTATAATAAAGGTTCAATACTTGCCGCAGGCAATCTACAATTTACTGTTTTTTGTTGTTTTTTTTTTTAATCTTATATCCTTGTAACGTCAAATAATCAACAGAGAGTTTTCAAAATGCATGGTAGAAAAAAAAATATAATTGTAGAATCACTTTGATTATTATTTTTAGTCTAAGAAAAAAGGCCAGACAGTCAGTGTTTTCGTCTGCTATTGAATGCAGTTCGATGCAGAACCATTACTTTCAATTTGTATTGTTATTCGTTTTATGATTTATGGATACCACGCCTTTGGACAAATAAACAGTTAATACGAACCTTTTGGTACGTCGACCACTGCTTTATGAAATATACATTTGTATTTTCAGTAAATATACTATATAACATGTTCCATAAGTATCCGGTTGGAAAATTGATGACATCAATCATTTTCAGATTCTTTTCGATGTTATCAACTTTATACATTAAAGAAAACAATATTTTATAAACACAGAATTTGATAAACAGCGAGTTGTTTTCTGCAGAAAAAAAATGTAACATATATTTGTTCATAATTTGCACTGTTTATTTGCAAGATATCTTACTATACAAAATATAGATTGACAAAAACAATAAGAAGAATGAAAATAGTTGAATGTTATTCACTTTGACCCATGTCATAATTTCACACTAGAGAAACAAAAATCATGTTCCGTAAACAATTTCAAATTGTAAAAAGTATTATACCTAAGTTCAATCAGACAGTAAATGCGTGCTAGACATGCAAATGATAAAAGTGTTTCATCTTGATTTATTTTTGTTGTTTCAAGGTGGACATCACACCAACGTGGTCACTCATGGGAGTTTCGCCCTTTTTTGGAACGAAAGCTCTCTGAAAAATACCAAATGTTAACGTGTTATATAAAAGAAACACACACTGAAATACTCAGTTGGAATAGAAAGTGTGCATTTGGTTACTTGAAAATACAGAATAATTGCATGAGCAAAATAGTGGCAAATTTCAAATCATTCACAAGTATCTAAATGCAAAAACACATTTACAAAAGGCACAACATTTATTTTTCATCAATCTGATCTTTACACTTTCCCAAAGTTCTAAACATTATCAAGTGTCTATTAAGTATAAACCATTTTTAAGTCAAAACATTTCTGCAAATTTCAATACCGAATATGTCAATATTTTTTTTACAAAGTAAACAAATCAAAACCCTGTATGCAAGTGAAAACTTACTGTTGCAAGTCAGTATTACATTCAACGGTAACTTGTTACTATCAAAATCGGCTTATCATTAACACCAAAAACAGAGTTTTCACCCGATTCTTACATTATCATGTGGAAGAGCAAATAATAAGCAACTTAGGCAAATCTCCCCAATGTATTATAAGTTAAGTATGATTCACATATTGTAAGTTTACTATTTTATACATGCTTTGTATACGATTCATTAATAACATTTTCCACTTGTTTTAATATCACCATATATACATGCTATTTTCCATCTTATGAATTTGTTCACAAAATTCCTTTACAGTTAAATTATATTGCTTGGATAACTTTATGGTCGAGTCGCGAAAGTTACATATTTAAGATGCTCCCTGTTTATAAATTTCAAACAATACTTTTATATCAGGCTTTTTGCCAAACTCAATTGCATACCTGAGTCAATATCAGGTCAGTTTTTCATATAAAATTGAGAAAAAGAAAGATAGCCTGCAAGCAACTAAGAATACTCCGACACTTAAACGAATACTTTTATTTGGAGGCGTCTTCAGACAAACACTTTTTGAAACCATAAACATTGAATGCGTAATGACATTTTACAAATAATGACACTCACCTTTGTTTTAAGTATTGAAAGATTTTTAACAAATATATGGTCAAGTATCGATTGATTGGATGCATCGTTAGGATGTTTGAATGTGTATTCTTTCACTGGTCTCGTTTTGAACTGTTTCTGAAGCCATTTGTAGTTATCTGTCAGTAATTGTAAATATTGCTATGTTTTAATTGTTTGATTTAGCAGTGAATATATTTATTAATTAAAAAGCAATGTTTTTGATAGCATGGATTTTAAACATTGAAGATCATACTGTTTTGATGTAGAATGGAATATGTTAGACATGTCATGTTTAAGTGTACCAAAAGATTACCTCAGCTATATGATAACCTCTTGAAAAAGATTTTTCGTTGAAGGAAAGAGATCATTATTTGAAATTAAGTACTTGATAAAACCGTTGCATTACCATTAAAGAAAGAAGATAGATAAAATGTTTTTCCTAGGGTGAACTTCAAATCTTAGGACAAAAGCTGCACAAAAAGAAATAATATCCTAACACTAAAACATTTTGATGATATCAAATGTTATTGATAATTAATATTAATTGTCATGAAACATACATGATTTTCTTAAGATAAAGAATTAAGGTAATACAAAGCAATTGTAATAATCTTGATATGGAAACCTAGAACACAAAATAAAGCAAAGGTAAATCTCTTTAACACACCCACCCACAAACAGACGCGTACACGCAGGCACACACACGTACGCACGCGCGCCCACTAGCAGACAAATCAAAAATCTATTTTGATATTTATTTTATAATATGTAATAAAAAATATTTCACATATAATTTGCTATTGAAAAAGAACAACAAAATTCCTTATCAAATATCACAATTAAAACGGAAACGTTATCAATTTGGGACGAAAGAAATAATGCCATATGTTCTTTTATCTTCCACAGATATGTATAAATAGAAAAACAATCATAATAATCCCTTTTCAGTTAAATATGTACGGTCATCTGCTTCTGGTAGGTCGTTTTTAAAATAATATCTTAATTTTTAACTGGAAGAAAAATGACTTCACAACAAATGATAATATTCAGACAAATATATTGTTAAGACCTTAAAGTCTGACATCTTAACCTGATTGTCGTACCTTGTACTAGTCCCAGTATTATTAATGTTATCTATATATTGCATAAACATGAAAATTAGCAATAATTATTGTTTTTTACCACAATTTTATGTGTACGGCCTCATGAAAATGTCATCTTTCTACAAAGCAAAATCTAAATCATGCTTAAGGTGACGTTGTTGCATTAAATATCAGTGTACATAGAGTTTTACATTTTATTCTATTCTCTGTGTGTTTTAAACTGGTTGAAAGAAATGTTAAGCCTACTCTTTAAAGATATATTGATACTTTTAAGCTTTATCAGTACCAGAAGACCGTGTTTCCTTTCAGACAGAAATGGTCATCTGGAACCAATGTACTGTACCACTGACCTATAGGAATCAAATAGCCTTAAAAAGAAATCGAAGAAAAAAGGTTAAGAGGTATTTGATCTATGGTCAAAGACTTGGCCGAATAATAAGGATCCTTGCCTTCTTGCACGGTATGTCTTATTGAGACAGTAATATCCCTTTTTTCTATGACACAGTTTTGTTGTCTGTACTTTTCTTGAAACATCTTTCTACCTAGAATTTTAAAGGAAAACCAGTAGTATATAGTATGATGGTTCCGGGACACTTTGAAGCCTAAAAAAGTGTTTATCTATCAAACCAAAGGGTAAGACAGCTCGACATAGCTTACCTATCAACCCAAAAAGTAAGACAGCTCGACATAAAACCCCATTTTATTGATTTAAGAACACCCTCAGGCCAAAATCCCCCCGGAACCATCATACTATATACTACTCATAAATAGAATACTATAAGGCAGGCGGGAACCGACGAGTCCTTTTTTATAATTAAAATATATATAAATGAGTTTACAAAAACAAATATATTGTTTAAAAGAACGAACATACACCGATAATGTAAATCCTCAATATGTTACAACAAAAAACGGAAGATTAATGATAAAAGCCGCGTGTGCTTCATGCGGTAAATTGAAATCTAAGTTTGTAAAACAAGGCGGTTAATCATGAGTAAAAAAAATGTTTATCCAACCTTAGGAACCAACTTTTAAATAGTTGCAGCCTATAAATCAATATGTCGTTCCGTATCACGTGGACAGTTTTTCCGCTAAAGATCAATAGTGAAACGTCATCCAATATCCAGAACATTCGCCTAGTGTGCAGCTCAATAGATGTTAAATGCGTTGTCATTATTTCATCAGCCAGGAATACAGAGTGGTTAGACAGAATGTAAGTTGTTTTACCATTTTTCTTTAACAAATATAGTAAATGAATTATTTATTCTTTTATCTAAGAAGTTCTTTCGTTAATCATTAAATTTTGTTTTTATTTTAGGGCTGAACAATTTGCGATAGAGATGTTTAAATATATAAAATCCCTGGAAGATTTTCTTTCTCGTAAAACGGAGAACGGAGAAGTAATTACGCAGGATGAATACAGTAAAATGTGTACTTATAAAAACACAATTGAGTACATTTCTAACATTCATAATTTTATGAAAGATCATGCTCAACAACAAGTTACAGAAGATCAAATGGCTTCGTTGAATAATAAACAAAAAGACTTAATAAGAACAGATGAGTTAGAAAAAATTAACGATTTGGGATTGAAATCATTGCAGCAGGTTCCAGATGTGCAACAAAACCTACGTCAACAAAGTAATAAAACAAAAGCAAAAAAAACATACAATCAAGTGAAAAATGAGGTACAAAAATCATATTCAAAAGATCGGAACTTGGCTGGAGAGGTTACGTTGGAGCTTGAAAACACCGACAGCTGTTTTAAAACTTTAAAAACACTAGACAGACATACGCAGAGTGCTGGAAGAACAAAGTTGTTATATAACATTATCAAAAAGGAGAAGTTTTAAAAAAAATCAAGGATTTTGTAAAAGGTGGATTTTTTAATAAAATTAAAGAAAATGGTATAACATATCAAATTTTCCCTG